AGGCCTCTTACCCTAGGCTCAAGGAATGGTTCTGATTTGTCTAAACCAAGTCATAGACATCTCATAGGATGGATCTGAGAGTTGGTTAGTGAACTCATTCTGGATAATAAGTTATAAGGTTAAGGCAGCTCAACAGCGGTTCTCAACCTGTGGGTCGCGACCCCTTTGGCGGCCAAACGACCCTTTCACAGGGGTCGCCTAAGACCATCCTGCATATCAGATATTTACATTATGATTCATAACAGTAGCAACATTACAGTTATGAAGTAGCAATGAAAATAATTTTATGGTTGGGTCACAACATGAGGAACTGTATTTAAAGGGCCAGAAAGTTGATAACCACTGGCTTAGAAGGCCTGTCTTTCCCAAATAGAAGTCAAGGAATAATGATGTAAAAGCCCCCATGACTTTCCGTTCCTCTGCCCAAAGATGAATTTGATGTCCAGAAGCACTTTAGCCCTCCTGTGACCATGTTGTGACAAACCAACATGAAGGAACAGCAAGAGAAGAGTCTGGGTCCTTAGTGATATTTTGGAATCACTGGGTTGCCTATACCGAGACTTCTTGTTATGAGAGAAAAAACAAACCCCTTATATGTTTAGGCTTCTGTGAATTGGATTTTCTGTTACTCACAGTGAATGGATTCCTAAGTGATTCAACTGACTATTTTAGTGACAGACTCATAAACAAATTAAAGTTATATTTTGAGTTAAGTTTTGTTTAACATCTTCCAAGCCCTCTTTTCTTGTACATATAGGCAAAGGTAATATTTCCTTTACAGGTTTGTTATTGGGATTATATGTGAAAATCACTTACCATAGTGCTTAGCAAATAGCCACAGTGTAGTGTATGTTAATTCCTTTCCATTTTCCTAACAACTAGGGCTGTATGGAGGTGGAATGGATTACTTGGAAGAAAGCATGAAAGCAGAAGCTTGGCCACATATATAAAGCTTTGGATGGATGGATAAATTAGTCATCCTTTACTCACCTTTCTTTTTCAAGTTTCATGACTCTTCATGTCTGATTGAACCAGCTTTTCCAAGTAAATCAGTCTATTTCTTTGCCTTTTATAAATTCCCACAAGAGAATAGATTTATTTTTTAATATATTTTTATTGATTTCAAAGAGGAAGGAAGAGGGAGAGAGGGAGAGGAGAGAAGAGAGAGAGAGAGAGAGAGAGAGAGAGAGAGAGAGAGAGAGAGAAAGAAACACCAATGAATTGATTGGCTGCCTCCTGCACACCCCACACTGGGGATGGAGCCCGCAACCCGGGCATGTGGTCTGACCGGGAATTGAACTGTGACCTCCTGGTTCATAGGTCGACATTCAACCACTGAGCCACACCAGCCAGGCAAGAGAATAGATTTAAATGAACGATTATACTTAAAGCATATGCCCACCTTACTCAAATGCCGACTGAATCCACATAGATTGAGGAAGGGTTGGTTCCAGAAAGGATGGAATGTTGACAGACATGAAATATATCAACTAAAACAGGTCATTCTGTCTTTTCTGCTACTCTATCTAACACTACCTAAATAACAACTACTTGAATAATAACTAACATTCGTTGGGTATTACTATTTGTCTGGTACTCGGCTAAATGCTTTCTATGGGCCCCCTCATTTAGTACTCACAGCAATTCAAGATATAGTTACTATTATCTTAATTTTATAGAGGGGTAATTGAACACAGATAGGGGAAGTAAATTGCTCATAGCCACACAGCTGGTATGTGGTCAAGATGGAACCCAGGCATCTCATTTTCCATCCCATCTATAATAATAAAAGCATAATATGCTAATTAGACTAGACAGCTGAATGACCTTTAGGACAACCTTCTGGATTAAGCTGGGGCTTCGAGGTCCGAGCCCTTTGCACGAATTTCGTGCATAGGACCTCTAGTAGGAAATTAAAAAAAAAAAGAGGAGGCTTATGCATGGATCATAGAATGAGAGGAAGCTTGCTGAATAGATGCCCATGGCTAACAAAAGCTGGAGAGACTGCCCTTCTACCCCCACAACTAAAACACAAAAACTCATAAAATAGCTCCCTTCCTTGATTTAAGCCATTTTCTGACCTCAAAAGAATACACAGTCAAAGCTTGCCCAACTGGAGGAGATTTAGAGGTTTTAGATTTAGTTAGTTCTGGACACCATTTGAATGAAAACAGTCCCAGATGTGAATATTTTTCTTTTATAGATTTACTCTCAGGCTCAATAATAATCCACAAAAGTTGGGTTCCTATTTGCCCTTGGACAGTGCTCATATGCCTTTATGTTGCTCATCAGGACCTTCATGATCTGACCCCAGCCTGTGTTCCTGTCCCCTCACTTGGCATTTCCACTTCTTCCCTCCTGATTTGAGGTCCAGCCACAGTGAAATTCGTGCAGTCATAATTCTTGGATCTCTGCAAGGTCTCCTTGTTGATCTACACATAGCCCTGTTTTATTTTATTTGACACATAGCCCTGTTTTATTTTATTTTATTTTTTTTTAAAATATATTTTATTGATTTTTTACAGAGAGGAAGGGAGAGAGATAGAGAGTTAGAAACATCGATGAGAGAGAAACATCGATCAGCTGCCTCCTGCACATCTCCTACTGGGAATATGCCCGCAACCAAGGTACATGCCCTTAACCGGAATCGAACCTGGGACCTTTTAGTCCGCAGGCCGACGCTCTATCCACTGAGCCAAACCGGTTTCGGCAGCCCTGTTTTATTTTATTTACATTTTCATTTACCTTTTTTTGGGCAAGAAAACACTTTAAATTTTAAATTTACTTTTAAATACTATAACAAACACCTATAAAGGTGAAATTCTTCCTTTAGTTTACAATGCCTCACTGTTATCACTGTTATCAGAACTTCTATGTGCTCTATCTGAAATTCTTCCCAGCCCATCCCCACCTTCTCCAATGTCCTTTAGGTTTATATTTAAAAAGTGTCCTTGACTGTTCTTCTATCTTCAAGACTAGGCAGAAATCTTTCCCCAGCACTCTAATAGTGTCCTTTCCCTGTCACATCTAATCAAGTGCTGTATTGTCTGTTAACTCACTTTTTTCTCACTAGGAGGCACTAGCCTGGGAGCTTATTTTAGGACAAGAATGGCTGATGTTATATTGCAGTCTCAGTGCTTAGAGCGGTGTGACATAGCGTGAACTCAATATATAGTTCAGTGGTTAGCGAACTTTTTCTATTAAAACCATACAGTATCTTTTGCATTTACACAACTCTGCCATTGTAGTGTGAAAGCAGCCATAGACAATATTTAAATACCTACCATGGCTGTGTTGCAATAAAACTGTATTTACAAAGATAGATTTGATCCATGGGCCATAGTTGTGCTATAATTGATGAAGAAACGAACAAATAAAAATGAATAAGCAGGATTACATTTAACCCCATTTACCAGAAAGGAAGTACTGGTTACTGCAAAGAACTCTTTATCAGAAAACCTGAATTCAATTTTCTTCCTATTATGTAATATCTTTTATCTCTGGCCTTCTATGGCCTTATCTTTAAAATGGGGCCTGATAATACCTCCTCTGCTTAAAGATTTAAAACTGTCAGGTTCTTAAGATTAGGATGCCTATTTGTCTTTATTTCTAGAGTCTAGCAGAAATCCCACAGGCCTAGAGCAGAGATTTTCAATCATTTCCATCTCATGGCACACATTAACTAATTACTAAAATTCCGAGGCATACCAAAAAATATATTTATTGCTGATCTGACAAAAAATAGATATAATTTTGATTCACTCACACCAGATGGCTGTTGTGTTGGCTGTTGTCATTTTTCCATTTGGCAATCTAAGGGAAAAGGGGTCCATGCCCCTGACTAAACAGTCAGGTATTGCATTTTTAAAAAATTCTTGTGACATACTGTGTGCCGTGGCACACCCGTTGAAAATCATTGCCGTAGAGCATAATAGGTAGACAAATAATTGAAAGCTCAGGGTGAAGCTGGTGTTTAATGAAACAGGTAGTTGGAGCAGTCAATAGTTGTAATCTCTTAGAAAGGGGAAAATTTTAGTCATCAGCTAAATTGCTACTATGTAGAAGTCCTTCTAGGTTTAAGAAATTGGGGTATTTTAATTCCAAATGACAGAAAACCCAACACAAATTGGCTTAAGCCCCATAGAGAATTTATTGGTACATTGGTGTGCCTTGTTCCAGGGGCTCAAACCAGGTCAAAGACCCCCAGGCTTCTCTATTTCTCCACTTGTCTTCCGGCTTCACCTACTGGTGGTGGGATGGCTAACATTGGATTCACCCTCATTTCCTCACAGCTCAAAGACCATTGGAAAATAGGGAGGGTCCCTGTCTCTCAAAAGTCCTAATAACAAGCCAAGATTATGTACCCTTGGCTGTGGGTCACTTGTCCCTCTTTGAGCCAAATACCATGGCCATGAATGAAATGACATAACTTGAGATGTACTGACTGAGAGCGAGGGAGGCCTGGCTGTACAACAGCAAACCTCCCCTATGCAAAAGAAGAAGGTGGCAAAGACATGAAATACCTAGAACTGTCGTGATCCCTCTCTCAAGAACGCTATGATTTAATGCTGTCATGCAAATCGAGGATGTTTGTGAATTCCATGCAGCCTGTCCACGGACCCTACCTTAGGAAGAGAAGAAAACCGAGCCTAGTGTCTTTCTCCAGTGTGTGACCCTCCTAGATACAAACATTGTTATTGATAGTTGCATTTCTAAGATAAAGGAATATGTACTACACGCTCGCCCACGCCATCACACCCCCAGCCCCCATTTGTGCACCCCCCCCCCCCCCCCAGTGTCCAGGAGAAAAGTGCTCAGTGCATGTCTTCATGCATCCCAGATCCAGGAAGGCCATTCAGGATGGGGGAAAGGGAAGGTTTTGAGCCCAAAAAAGAGAAATGAAAACAAAAAGGTCCCGCCCTGTCAGCATTAACTGGAGTATAAGAAATGAAGTTTGGGCTGACAGACAGACAGGCTCCTGGGGTCGGCCGACAGTCAAAATGTCCAGAGGGCCTGTCATCCTCTGGCTGCTGAGGGAGCTGTGGTGGCTTTATCTGAGTAAGTGTGTGACCTGCCATGCAGGAGGGGGGCTCCGCACCCTGAGATGGGGCTCCTTGGCTGGTGGGCTTTAGGGAGCAGAAGCCCACCTCATTCCCTCCCCCACCCAGGGTTTCTTGTTCGGGTGGTCTCTCCTCTTGCTGTCATACAAAGTTGTATCCTGAGGCCGCTTTGGGGGTTTCAGGGTGGGGTCATTTGTGTTCATATCAGAAATGACAATTTAAGAAGAAACACCGAAATAAGGGGTCAGATGAAATGGGGAAAAGAAATGTCCTCTGCAGATGTTATCAGTGCTGTCAGATGGAGGGCAATTTGCTCTGGAAAGGGCTCTTCTGGTAATTCTCCTCTTTCTCTTTATTGTCAGTTTTAGTTTGCCTTTTGGATTACTTTGCCGGGGAGGAGGTTTCAAGGAGCGGTTTCTTCTTGCACATTGTTCCCAGGTTTTGGACGATACAGAGGTCCGCCCTGGGCTGAGACCTGTGCATCCTGGTGGCAGAGGGCAGATGCTCGTGCTGAGCCCAAGCCCTGTCCACTCGCTGACAGTTGGCACTGGGAACACGTTTAACAAGCCCTGGCTGTCTCCTGTGTGAAATGAGGGACCTGGATCAGACCAGAGTAGAACTAGACAGTATCTAATGTCTCTTGCAGTTTTAAAAGTTTGGTAGTTGCTTGCGAATGAATCTTTCAAGGACAGCAAAGGTGTTTCCTTTACCTGTCCAGCCTGTGCCATGCAGTTCTCTCTGTCTCTCTTCTACAAGCCCATGGGTCCTCAGGTCTCCTCCAAAGGTGGGCTTTTCCTGAGCACTCAGGACTGATTCAGGAATTTCTTTTTTTTTTTTAAATATATCTTATTGATTTTTTACAGAGAGGAAGGGAGAGGGATAGAGAGCTAGAAACATCGATGAGAGAGAAACACTGATCAGCTGCCTCCTGCACACCTCTTACTGGGGATGTGCCCGCAACCAAGGTACATGCCCTTGACCGGAATCAAACCTGGGACCTTTCAGTCCACAGGCCGATGCTTTATCCACTGAGCCAAACCAGTCAGGGCTGATTCAGGGATTTCTGCTATGAGTTCCTGTCCTCCCTGGAGTTCCGCTCTGCCTCCCACCCCCCTCCCCCTCCCACCCCCCTCCCCCACCTCACCCCCCTCCCACATCAGAGAACAGGTCACTGAGCTGCTTATCTCCCCAGATACACTGTGGCAGTTAATGGAATAAAAGCAGCCCCTGTCTGCCTTTTTTTTTTTTTTTTTAAATCAATGTTTTCAATGGTCTTTATCTTGTTCTGGGAACTTGAGGTGTTCTGGGAACTTGATTTTGTCATGCTGAAAGTTGCTGGGGTCTAAGTCCACATAGCCAGCTACTGGCTGGTTGCTGAGCTGTTGGTTGAGCTAGGGTGGGTTTCTTTAACCCTGTTTAAAGGAGACAGTAGCTGGTAAACTTTCTCTTTTTTTCATTTGGGTCTTTTCTAAAATGACCAAATTAGAAGAGAATGACTGTTCAGAATCACCGAGAATCCATCAAAGCTACACATGCCCTTCAAAGATGCTGAATCAGAAACTCCAGGCTGCAGATGGTGAAACTGAGACCCGGGTGGGGGAAGGTCCTTTCTTGAGGTCACCAGCTGGAGGAGACACCACTGGCACCAGAACCCAGGTTGTGCCCACACCATCCTGGGTAGCTACTGAAAAACGGAATTGATTTGACACCAACAATTCCTCTGCTTCAGGATACTTTTGTAACTGGAAAAAAAACGCAGGGTTTTTGGGTCCTATTTCTAAATTCTCCTGTGTTTGGTTACTTCATTAATTCTATGTGGCATTGATATTTCGTCTCATGTGAACCTTAGAAACGCTTTCTGAGGGGAGTCATTATCCCCTTTATTTTACGATGACAATGAGGTTAGGCTTACTGTGGCTTTCCTCCAAGAACACAAAGGCCCATGAGGTTTACAATGTACGCCTAATGGGTGTTTTTCTGCCACAGCAAAATGCCTAATTGCCTGCTTCCTTTTTTTCAAAACCATCAATTTTGAATCAGATGAGTAATACAGAAACACCCTTAGTGAAAAAAATAAAGCTATAAATCCCTTTTGAGGACCACCCCCAGGCCCCATCCCTTTCCAATCGTCATGGAGAGGACCAACACAATGAGTTGGGGGTATATCCCACCAGAAACTTTTCTATGCATATATCTATACCCCCACCCCCACATGCACATACACAGTGTGAACTGTTTTATTTATTTATTTTATTAATGGTTTTTACATTATATGTGTTATATTAAAATTTTCCTTTTCATACTTTCGTAAGACCGAGTTTTCATGCCAACTGGCATAAGTCTATCTAATTCTAATAATCTTCTATGCATGATTCCATGGAATGAATGTGCCAGTTTTGCCAGGCACGTAGACACGTTCATTCCATTCACATGTAGGTGAAGGCGGCAATAAACATTTGCTATTAGGTTTTCTTGTGCATGTGTGTTTTTCTAGGGTAAATAAAACACAAAATTGGTAAGGTTTAGAATGCACATGCGCATGTTGAGTATTAATAGAAACTGTCAAATTGGCCCACACTATGGCTATACCAATTCTTACCCTATTTCTGTGTAGTTGACTCTGGTAAGCTATCTTTTCCTAGATCCCTGTTGGCCCAAAATTGCTTTTATCAGCACTCTAAATTTTGGCCAAATAGGTGAAATTTACTAGCCACTCATATCGCCTCATCTATGAATTGCCTGTTATGTCCTTTTTTAGTTTTTCTGTTGCGCCTTAAGAAGTAGGATGCTTCCTGTGATGCTATAATACTTGGGAAAGTAAACTGATGACTTGCCAGTAGAAATAATTCTTGCATCTATTTTAAAATTAATTCTCCCAATATAAATAGGAACAAGCCTATGTTTCAGAAGTTATTTGTTTTAGGCGCACGTGTTCTGTGTTGCTATGTGTCATGACACAGGGTGATGACAATGAATTGCTTATTTTTTTTCCTGGGTTGACGGTGGGCAGAGTGGACTTCTACAGCATTTATTGTCTGTGAAACAGTTTCACTGCAGCAAAGCGAAGAGGCTGTGAGTGCAGGGAAGGCTCTGGCTGCTCTGTATTTGGAATGACCTTCATCATGGGAGTCCACTGTGGAAAGCCCAGGCAGCACGCCCTTCGGCTTCCTCTCTGGGCGCCTTTTAGGGTTGCTCACCTCCCCCTAGAGAGGGATATCTAGACGTTCCTGACACCAGGTCAGGGCCTGTGGGCCATGTCTTATACAACTTAGCCAAATGGGTCAACACAGCTAGTGAATGGGGTCTCATGGGCCAAGGGGGTTCCTGGAGGAAAACAGAAAGCAGGAACCTGGTGCCTGGGATGTAGTCTGATGGTCTGGAGCTTCAGCCTGCCTCGCTCTCACTTCAGTAGGTTTTCTGTTATTGTTTAGAACAAGTACTGATACTCAATTAAATCAGTGGGCTGGCAGCAGTGAGAATGTTTCCCAGATTCTCAGAAATGGATGTGATCTTCAAAGAGCTTGTCCTGTGGTCCTCACACACTGGGGGAGTGGCCAATGATATCAGAAGAGTTTGGTGATGTCCATTTCCAGGGGCTTTGGCCTCAGAGATTCTGACTCAGGGTTGGTCAATAAAATATCTTTTTAACAATCTCCCCGGGTCATGCTGATGAGCAGCCAAAGTTGGGAAAAGTGGACACTTCATCTTAGAACTAGAGTGGGTACAAGTAGGTTTACAATTGTTCACATGCAAAATAATACAATAATTAATAAATAATAATACAAGAATAAATTCTGTGTTTCACGTACTCACAACTGTAAACCTACTTATACACCACACAGTAGTGATATCTCCCATATTACCCTCTGGCATTTTTGTACGCCACAGCTCCCATTCTAATTCCTGTGGTCTGCTTCACTCAGTTCTAACATTTAAAAAACCCTCAAACTCCACCTAACTTCATATTGTCTAACAACAAATAAATGGTCCAGAGCAATTCCTTTTCATTTCCTGTGCTGAAAGGAGAGAGCAATGGTATATAGTCTGGCAGCCCATCTTCCTGCCATAGCCCTCTCAGTATTGGAGGACAGAGGGAGACCCATTTTGCTGGGGTCCAATCCCAGCGGGTCCAGGGGTCCCCAAAGGTGTGGACGGAGTCGGCGAAGAAGGAATGACACGAAGACAGCCTTCAGTTGATCAGCAGCCTAGTCAGGACCTCTAGCCAGGATCTCCAGCCAAAGTTCTGGTCGGAGTTCTGGTTAGGAACTGATCAGGATCTGATGTTTATTGTCTTGTTACATCCATATTTATACCAGCCGATTTTAATCCTGTCAATTTCTATTACAAAGGTTAGGGCGTTTCTTATCTCCATTCCAGGGAGTAAAGATTATGTAGCTTAACTACCCGCCTGGCACTTAATTAAGGGGTTGTATCCCCTCCCTAACCTCAGGGAAAGATCCCCACCTGGGGAAACAACCTTTCTCGGAGAGGTGACCTTGGTTAAAACACATGGCGCTAAAGAGAGCAAATATATTAAGAACAATATGCTATATATGCCAGGTCCCTTGAAACATATGCTGTGCAGATGTTTCTTTCCTGCAGCGACTGTGTCAAGCAGCAAGGATGGACCGGCTCCCGGCACCATTTGAGATATTCAAGTCAATAGAACATAATCACTGTTCATTGGGATACAGTAGGCAAAGTGCTATGTTTAGAGCTGTTTGTCTCAGTTAGGGGAATTGAGTTAAAGGGTCAGGATTTTTCAGTGGAGAGTCTATTGGTTTATCTTACGGTACTCAAGGTCAGAGTGGAAGGGAGGGGGGAGGAGAGAGAGAGAAACATCAGCAAAAGGTCTTGCTGTGGAAATGAGTTTAGACACTCAGGTGGGTCAGCTGTCTCCACTTGGGGGATGGAAGGATGTGGAGTTAGGAGCTCAGCTCTGGTGAAGCACACATCAGAATTTAGACTAAAGAAACACATACACTACCACCCTGTGCATCTTCCTGGAAGCATCTGTTTGCACAACCACGATCATGTCTGAGATACGTCAGTACCACACGACCTGGTTTTCTCATCCCTCCTCACAGCTCCAGCTGCAGCGCAGACTGTCGTGACAGGATACGTGGGCCAGTCGGTGACTTTGCCCTGCATGTATGCATCGTGGTCTCAGGGCAGCCACAGCATGTGCTGGGGCAAAGGCTCGTGTCCCAAATCCAAATGCAATGATGAACTTCTCCACACCGATGGGACAAGGGTGCTCTCCCGGAAGTCAGCAAAATACCAGCTTCTGGGGAGTATCAGGAGAGGCGACGTCTCCTTGACCATCTTCAACACCAACGAAGGTGACAGCGCTGTGTACTGCTGCCGCATAGAGGTGCCTGGCTGGTTCAATGATGTGAAGAAGAACATTGTCCTGAGGCTAACGAGAGGTGAGCACAGGAAGGGGCTGGTGCCTGTGGAAGGAGAGATTTGGTGGCTAATGGGTGATGGGTTCAGTGGGGGCAGGGAGAGAAGCCTTAACTCCTTAAGCCATGAGTGGACGGATTACATCTCAGAAGTGTTCCTCCGACTAATAGGAGCCACGATGTGCGGGCAAATGCCCACGGTGGGGGGCGGGGGGCAAGAAAGGCCACAGAAATGATTGGAGGGTGGTGGGTTGGGAAGGAAACTTCAGGGTCAATCTGAAGAAGGCAGCTGCTTTTTACCTTTGGGATTGTTGCCCACTGTTTACAGATCTCTCAATTTTTATGTGAGATATACTGATTTTTGCATGTTGGCAAAGATTTCAACATTTAGAAAAATACATACTGTGTAAGCTAAATAAAGTGTGTCTGTGGTCAGCTTCAGCCCATCAGCCAGTAGGTTGCAGCTTCTGGCAGCAAAAAAGGGCATGTGATGCGGGGACTTTCAGGGCCATTTTCAGGCATGTTTTTCCTTCTGTTACTATCTTGCTTTTGGTGAAATTTGGAATAAGGTGGAACTCCTAAAGCTTTGAGCTGCAAGGGAGGCAAACAATTGATGTGGTTCTCTCACATTGATGTTTCTCTCTCTCTCCTCCTTGCCCCTCCCTTCCACTCTCTAAAAATCAATGGAAAAAATATCCTCCAGTGAGGATTAATAAAAACAAACAAACAAACAAAAGATTTGAGCTGCATGGAGGGCAGTCTATGGCTAAATAATGCTAACAATACGACCTTTTCTGCTTGTTTGGAATGGAGCCTTGTAAAGTAAGCCCTGTGTTCAGCTTTCATCAATGATGGAGGAATCTGGGGCTCCTTTCCTAACTGGAAGGGCATCTTCGAAGGCAGGGTCTGGATATTAATATGCTTAACAAGCTCCTTAGGTGACTCTAATGTACTTTATTTTATTGTTTTTTAATATTTATTGAATTTATTCGGGTGACATTTGTTAATAAATTATATAGGATTCAAGTATACAATTGTATAATGCATCATCTGTATATTGTATTGTGTGTCCACTATTCCAAGTCAAGTCTCCTTCCATCACCATTTATCCCTTCTGCACTCTCTTCCACCTCCCCCACCCCCTTTCCCTCCAGTAATCCCCATACTGGTGTCTGTCTCTCAGTTTTTTTGTTTTGTTTGTTTGCTTAACCCTGTCACCTTTTTCACTCAGTCCTCCAACCCCCTGACAGCTGTCAGCTTGTTCTCTGTATCTATGAGTCTGTTTCTATTTTGTTTGTTAGTTTATTCTAATACACTTTAAAATTTGAGAACAACTGATGTGGATGCTTCTAATTGGAGAATTTTCGTATACATTAGCATATTTTTTCTCTCAAAATAACTATTCTGATTTATTGAATTAAATGATGCCAATCTGAGTCTACTCTTTTCAATGTTGGTATAACCAGCTATTATTTTATAAAATACTTGTTTGACCTCCAAACTCTGTGGGGTCATTTCTAGGTTCTCTTAAAACTAATGATGTCTTTCAGTCCATTAGCGTTCATGGAAATTTGGCATATTTGGTAAGGTGGTATCTGGAGAATAATTGTGGCTAATGAACCCAAATTCAAATGTTTAGCGGGTGAGTGGTGCTTGCATGAACCAATCTTTAATATCCAAAAGAGACTGCACCTCACCATACTTCGGACTTAGTGTTTTTAGATTTTAATTTTATTTTATTGTGAAAAGAACACCTAATGTGAGTTAACTATAGGCACAATGTTTTGCAGATCTCCAGAGTTTATTCATTTTGCTTGACTGAAATTTTATATTTAGCTCACTTTTAATCAGTCATTTATTTACTCATGGATATTTGTGGAACACCTACTATGTGCTTGACACCATAATAGGTATTAGATTTGTACCAGAGAACCAGATTTTCCCTCATGGAGCTTACCAGCTAGTTGGAGAAGAAGACATTAAATAATAATCATCAAATAATGTACAATTATGAAATGTAATAAATGCTATGAAGGTAAAGTATGAGAGTGCAAAAAAATTGTTATTACATAACACAGATGACCTCTCTGCAGAAGTGTCCATCTAGCTGAGAAAGAAGGCTAAGGAGTCAGCCTCATAAAGAGAGAGACTAGGAAGCAGCAGGTATAAAGTTCTTCCAGCCAGAAGGCTACTAATATGTTCAAAGAACTGAAGAAAGGCCAATGGGCTGGGGAAAGATGGAGAGTGAAGTAGAGACATGAGATTGGAAGGAAAGACAGGGCCAGAGCCTTGCGGCCAAGATTGTGAGCTAGGCTTTTTAGCTTACAGGCAAGGAGGACCCAGTAAAAAGTTTTAAGCAGGGGACTGACATAATTAGATTTATCATTTTAAAAGATTACTCGAACCAATGTGTGAAAAACAAATTGGAAAGGCCGAGACTAGTGGCAAGAAACCCAATTTTTATGGACAATTACAATGGTCCAAGAGTGGACTAGGTGAAGGCAGTAGAAACAGAGGGAAATGGAAGGGTCCCAGATGTATTTGTATTGTTTCCTTTTTCCTCCATCTCCACTTGGTATCAAATATATCTTCTGTTGGTTACAGCCCCAACAACCACCCGGCGCCCAACCACCCGGCGCCCAACCACCCGGCGCCCAACCACCCGGCGCCCAACCACCCGGCGCCCAACCACCACCACCACCACCACCACCACCACCACCACCACCACTGCTATGCCAACAACCACAACTGTGCTTCCAACAACAGTCATGACTACACCTGACCTCACAACGAGAACACCACTTCAGACAAGAACTACCACTGCCCTCACAACAATGACAACCACGTGCCCATGGACAACACCAAGCTCTCTTCCTGAGGCAACCACCATTCTTCTGACCACTGTGCCTTCCACCGAAGGGTCCACTCTCACTGCAGGTACCTGGCACAATTGACCATTCTTTCCCTTCTGCTGATTATATGTATATGAGTCCCTTGGAATGGGGTTCCTCTACTGAATTAGCAGTGTGTGTGTGTGTGTGTGTGTGTGTGTGTGTGTGTGTGTATTCACTAAACTATTCCTTTTCTTTGTTTTGTGGTTTCCTCCCCCACCCCCTCTTTCTTCCTTTGTTTGTGAAAAGTCAACTTTTTTGGTTCTTCAGTTGACCTCCAGGAATCTTGGAGATGTTTATTGAAGAACCAGGAATGTAACCTCAGGTCAGGCTCCAGTTCCATTTGCCAGGGGTTAAGTCTCTGCCTGGGCATTAGAGATTGGTTTAAGAAAGACTTCAAAATAATTTTTGATAGTGAACTGGTTATCTTTTGTCTTTTTTTTTTTTGTTTCTCCTGAATCCTTCTTGATCCTGCATCTTGGACCTCTCATTGGGTTACTAGTAGGGCCTTATCAAAGTTCCCACCACATTTCCTCCTCTGATTCTGAAAATACAATTATTAAAAAGCAATCATGCGATAGCTTGAAGGCTTTCTTAGGCATTTTAGCTGCCAAAATAAGGTCTGGATCATCTAAATAGCTTAACAATATTCAATTGGCTAATTTTATTATACTCTGAATAGTCACCTAAAGTCCACGAACTCTAAACCAATTAATTTTTGTAGGTATTTTTATTCCATTTACCTTTAAAAGAATCATCTTAAAATACATTTGTAATTTTTTTCTCCTAGATTCTTGCAATCCTTGAAGAAAATTTGATGTAGAAAAGCACAAAGACTACCATAAAAAAGAGCCCCAGATCTCACACTCAGCACACTTTTTTTTTTTTTTTTTTTTTTTTGCTGCCTTTCATCAGACTTTTTTCTATTCCAGAATCAGAAAACTCCCTTCTCCCTGAGGTAACTTCTGAAGACAATTCTTTATTCACACCCAAAGGTATGTGGACCCTTGCTCATGTTTCTTTCCTTACCTCTTAGATTGAGGAGAAGGAAACAGTGAATAGAGCATCAGTGAACAGATGGAAAGGCTGCATTTGTGCTCATTCATTCCAGTGGACAAGGGATAAAAGAGAGTGGAAGAGGAAAGGGGGGGTAGAGGGAGTAAAGGAAAGAGTGAAGGAGATGTATTGATTGACAGATTGATTTTGATTTATTCGTGAGTTCTTTGAGGCAGCACATCTTTAGAAATTAGCCTTTCTACTTTAGGTTCGGGGGTGCTCAGCGGTCTCACTCTGATTCCAAGCACACCAGTCTTCTTTGTTGAAACTCCTAAGGGGTGGACTCACTTGACTGGTTGTTTTTTTTATGGTGGAGGTAAACTCTTTCTCTTTTTTTAAATCATTAAAAAATTTTCAATTACAGTAGACATAAATTATTATAGTAGTTTTAGGTATACACCCTAGTGATTAGTTAGACATTACTAGCTTACTAAGTGATCATCCCGATAAATCTTGTACCCATCTGACATGATACATAGTTATTAGAGTATTATTGACTATATTTCCTATGCTGTACTTTATATCCCCATAACTATTCTGTAACAACTAATTTGTACTTCTTAATCCCTTTACCTTTTTCAACTATCACCCCAACCCCCCTCCCATTTGGCAACTGTCAAAATGTTCTCAGTATCTATGAGTCTGTTCTGCTTGTTCATTTATTTTGTGTTTTAGATTCAATTGTTGATAGATATGTATTTATTGCCATTTTATTATTCATAATTGTGTCGTCGTCTTCTTCTTCTTCTTCTTCTTCTTCTTCTTCTTCTTCTTCTTCTTCTCCTTCTCCTTCTCCTCTCCTTCTCCTCCTTCTCCTTCTCCTCCTCCTCCTCCTCCTCCTTCTCCTCCTCCTCCTCCTCCTCCTCCTCCTCCTCCTCCTCCTCCTCCTACAAGACAACCCTTTAACATTTCATACAATACTGGTTTGGTGGTGATGAACTCTTAGCTTTTTCTTATCTGGGGAACTCTTATCTGTCCTCTGATTCTAAATGATAGCTTTGTTGGGTAGAGTAATTTTGGTTGTAGGGCCTTGCTTTTCATAATTTTGAATATTTCTTGCCAATCTCTTCTGGCCTGCAAACCTGCTGTTGAGAAATCAGCTGACAATCTTATGGAAACTTCCTTGTAGGCAACTAACTAATTTTTCTCTTGCTATTTTTAAGATTCTCTCTTTGTCTTTAACTCTTTGCATTTTAATTATGATATGTCTTGGTGTTCTTTTGGGTTCATCTGTGCTTCCTGGACTTGTATGTCTATTTCTTCACCAAGTTAGGAAAGTTTTCTGTCATTATTTTTTCAAATAGATTTTCAATTTCTTGCTCTCTCTCCTCCTTCTGGCACCTCCCTGATGCGAATGTTGGTATGTTTAAAATTGTCTCAGAGGCTCCTTACATTATTTTCTCTCTCTCTCTCTCTCTCTCTCTCTCTCTTTAGTAAATTCTTTTTGCTGTTCTGATTGTTTTTTGTTTCCTTATCTTCCAAATCTCTGATTTGATCCTTGGCTTCATCTACTCTACTATTAATTCCTTGTAATGTATTCTTCATTTCTGTTTATGTATCCTTCATTTCTGACCCGTTCTTTTTTATGTTTCCTATCTCTTTGTTGAAGTTCTCACTAAGTTCATCTACTCTTCCCCTAAGTTAATTGAGCATCCTTATGACCAGTGTTTTGAATTCTGCATCTAGTAGATTATCTCCATTTTGTTTAGTTCTTTTTCTGGAGTTTTCTTCTGTTCTATCATTTTGGACACATTTCTTTGTCTCCTCATTTTTGCAGCCTTCCTGTTTGTTTTTATGTATTAAGTAGAGCTGCTACATCTCCCAGGCTTGGTAGATTGGCCTAATATCTAGGTGTTCTGTAGGTTCTAGTGACACAGCCTCCCATCACCCAAGCTGAGCACTCAAGGTATGCCCTCACCCTCATGTGGGCTGTGTAAACCCCCCTCTTGTAGTTGAGCCTTGATTGCTGTTGACATGTCAGTTGGAAGAATTTACCGCGCCCCCTCCACCCCCTAGCCTATTAGTTGTAGGGATTGGCTGCAACCACCAACTGCTGTGGAGGATCAGCTGTGCCAGGACCCACCCCACACAGCAGGACTTACTTCAGCAGGATTCTGGTGTCCATTGACTCCGATCCTTGAGTGTGACACTTGTAGAGGAGGTTGGGTGGTGGTGCTTCATGGTCTGAAGCCGTCTACTGGGTATGCTATCTCTGGAGCTTCCTGGGAGGTTCAGGCCAAGGTCAACTGCTGCCTCTGTTCTGCCTGGGACTACAAAGCAATATACAAATGGCTGGCACTTGTGCTGACTTAGAGGTACCCAGGTGAGGCCAAGCTGTGAACCAAGGCTGGCTGCTGCTAGTGCTGGGTCTGGGACCAATTAGAAAGAGGTCTGGGGCTCGCTGAGACCAAATGCTGCTGTTTGAGAGATTTTAGGAAAATCTGAAGCATGAGCCAAGATAAGCCATGGAAACAGCTTGAGTGGTGTGGGATCTCAAGTTGGGTAAGGTGGGATCTTAGGGAATCACGAGAGTCAGGCAAACAGTGTGAGCCAGGTTGATGGAGTCTCAGATATGATACCCATCTGCAAGGTCTGTGAGGGGAGGGCTCATCAAAAGAACAATGGTTTCTGCCAGCACTTCTGTCTGAAAGAAAGTTGCCTTCCACCCCCAGCTCTCATCCTGATGCTGAACAATTTGGTTCTTTCCCATATGTCTCTGGTGCCTTTCGAGCCCCTGCCGCAGTACTGAGGCTCAGAGTGAGTGAATCTGAGTAAGTCCATGGGTGGGCCCTTCAAAGGAACGTCTTGGGGCTCCAACAGCCCTCCATCTCCCCTAGCCTCAATCCTTGCTGGTTTTTACAGTCAAAAGTTATGGGGACTTCTCTTCCCAGCGCTGGAACCTGAGGTGGGGAAGGTGGGAGTGGTGTGGCGCTGGGACCCCTTGCTCCTCAGGGGGGATCTTCACAGCTGAGATAGCCCTCCTGATTTTTATCCGCCAGCTTGTTCCACATCTCCAGTCTCTGGCCAGTCTCAATGTGGCTTCTTCTTTAATTTCCTAGTTGTAGGACTTCCATTTTCCAACCAGATTTCAGGTGGTTCCAAATGATGGTTGTTCTGTAGTTTAGTTGTAATTTTGATGTGGTTTTGGGAGGAGGCGAGTACTGCATTTTCCTACGCTGCCTTCTTGACTGGAAGTAAGAATTCTTTTATGCACTTGTACTTTCATCCATCAAGCCTTCTCTAGGTATTTACTAGAGTGGAGGGGCAGAGAATACCTTACAAATAAGATATGATTCACATCCTTGAGGGTGCTAGAAAGGATTGCCTAGGTTTGACTCCAGTTCTACAACTTTTTGGTGAGGGTCTCTGGGCTCGGTTTATTCCCAGGTGTGTTGTGGAGCTGTGTAACTTCATGCATTTAAAGGACTTAGATTAGTGCCTAGCACTTTAGTAAAGCATTCAAATCGTAGCTGTTACCTTAACAGGACTTAGACTCAAGCAGAGGAAAACAGACATGTGTGGGGTAAATAAACCAATGCTTGTGATAGTACAATATGGGAGGCAGGAAGGTAGAGTGGTTCCTGCACACACTCTGGTGTTACCCTGCCTGGGCTCCAAACCTGCCTCTGACCTGCTGTGTGACTTTGGGAAAATTATTTAATCTCTTTGGGTCTTGGTTTCCTCGTTGGTAAAATGGGAATAATAATAATAACACCTTTCCTACATCCATATGTCTTTTTTCTGAGAATTAAATGAGAACTTTATGCAGATCACTTAGAACAGTGCCTGACGTGTTCTATATGCTCAGTAAGCCTTAGCTCTTTTTTTTTTTTTTAATGACAGAGGTCAGTTTAGGGGACAGAGGGACACCCCAAATAGAAAGACAAGCATTTCCCGAAGTTCATTTTCTCTTTTAAAATCTTGGGTTCTCTAGTCAACACCCCAGGCAACACTCGTTTCACTAGGACAGTGATGGCGAACCTTTTGAGC